CCGACTCACACAGAAGAACGACAAAAAGCGTAACGAAACAAAACAAACAACTGGGCCTGATATCTTGATACTTCGTTCCTGACCTGTGTGAATTGTGCAGTTGTGCAGCAGGTGTCAGTGTTCAGTATCCTAAAGGTGTCGAACACACATACTATACTATAAATTATAATGACTTTCATCCATGTCGACGGTGTATTCTTTCGACTGTACATTTCATCAATTGTTTTTATCATAATATTACGTTGTTCGGCTAAAAAAAAGTTTAAAAAAGTAGATAATACAAACAAAAACTGAAATATGAACGCGAAACCACACTTCGAACAAAGAATGAACATTTTTTTGTACATGTATGAAGAGATTCCTTCATAACTCGTTTTGACATTGAAGATCTGAAAGATGTTGAACCTAATACATCAATGTATTTTTGCAAGGTTGGATGATGTTTTGTTTGTAGATCATTTACTTTCATTCGCAACATAGAGGTATACAGCCAAAGTATAGTTTATTAATCTTATCAATAGGTTTTCTATATTTTCATTAAGCCATTTTGCTGGAATTATATCATAATATTATGTATGTCACTTGCCATTTTGAAGCAACAAAATGTTATGATCGTATAATTCAATGACCACTAGAACGGGTATTTATCTCTAGCATTTTAGTAAATGCTAATTGTCGCGCTGTGTACGGTCGTGAACATAGTATGTTTTATACAGAGAAGCAGATGAAATGTTTCATGTTGGTGTTTACTTTACACTCACCAGAAATTCACATGGCCGCTGGTTACATGTAGTTGTTTTTAAGCGTTCTATTTTATACCAACACACATCAACTAATTGGCTACAATTTTGAAAGTGTTATCTTGAACTCACGAAGAAAAACCGTCATGTGTTTGATGAATATAAATGTTGAGACAAAGTTGTTTGTTTTCACTTTAGGATCTCAAAATTACATAAATTGTAATGTATAAATATAAATAATGTATTGTGCTCGTAATACTCGTTTTGGACATTTCATCGGCACGAACAAATTTAGATATTGTTGGAACAATGAAAAAAAAAAGTACGAATTCATTAATTTTGTACTCTACTCTCTTTTGCTCTGTTTTGTTTTTCAAACCCCTGTCAAGGATCATTGCTGTGTCCCTTCTTGTTCTCAAATTCATGTTGATGATTTGATCACACATATATGTTATTGACGGATTCTTTTTTTTTTTTTTACTGTTGTAATTAATCTTGATTGACTTGTTTCTTTGTTGAATGACGATACTGTTGAACAAAAGACTGCATTAGTGCTATGAGCTAAGGGTCTGGTTTGTGGTCGCCATATTACGGACAATTTTAATCTTAGACGACCTCCCCCCCCCTCTCCCCAATGAAGTTATAAAAAGAAATAGAGATCACCGAATATTCTTGAAGATTGCTCAAATGTTGACGAGTTGTACCGATCGTGAAAATTTTTTTCAGGGTGTATTGGAGACATAGCAGTAAAGATTTAGCACAATTTTAGTTTGTTGCTTTTTGGTAGAGATTTATGTCATGACTTTTCTGTGCAATGTTTTACACATCAAACTGTTGTTGTTCTATGTTCTATTTAGTTGCAATTTGATGACATCAGATGAAAATAATTCATTTGCAAGTGAATGTTATTCGTTATGACCTTCTTCGTACATTTATTTTGATAAAACAATTTCCTGTTGGTTTATACTGCAAATCTGTTAATTAAATGAGTAAGCGTCAGAAAAAGTGTTTGTTCGGGGCATTTTCAACTTGAGGTTATTTCAATTGTGGGCATTTTTCTGCCAATTATTCCTCTGAAATGGCTTGATAGACAGGGATTGTTACTGCCAGAAAGTACCAAAACTACCATGTTATTTGCACTGTCTGCTTTCATAAACCTGTCACTTGCTGAATGGTTAATATATGTTTTCAGAGGGACAAGTGGGTAGAGAGTTTGGGGGAGGGGGCGGGTTTGGGGGGGGGGGATAGGAGTAGGCCTTGCAAAGTCAATCTAGAAGTAGCTGTCTATTGTTGAACTTGGAAAGTTTAAAAAAAAAACAACCTTTTTTACACTGCTCAAGTCAGATCTATGTGTCTCAGAAGTTGGGAAGGCATTTTTTGTTTTTACTCGAGTGTCTTCGTATATAAATGGCAGGTTAGGGGGAGTGGGAGCACTGAAGAGTTCTTCCTTTTTCTGTTCAAAATGCCATGTCGATATGTTCATGTACATAAGTCAACATGTGTGTAATACTGTTAACTAGGATTTGTGCATACGTGCTACTTGTATTTTCCCATCATGACAAAGTATACTCGTGTACAGTACAGTTTTTCTACCATCTTATTTATAACAATTATATCATTACTTTGCAGTCTGACAAGCGGCACTTTTTGTACATCTGCTGTTTTGTTCCTAAAAGTCAAATGAAATATTTCGTTTCTTGATAACGTTCTAAATCTTCGGTTACTGGAATTATTTTGTGTCATTCTGCAGTGCAGCAATTCATGTAATCGCCATTTCCTGTGATATTTTAGTTTGTTGATGGTGTAATTGTAATGGATTTCCAAAACGTGCAACAATTAATAAAGCTATGTTACCATTTTCTAATAACTTTTTGAGACTTGGTGATTTACATCGTTTCTTTTCTGCTGCTGCTACTACTACTACTACTACTACTGTTGCTGCTGCT